AAATAATGAGAAAGAGAGAGAGAGTACTCAAATAAAATCAGAAATGAAAGAGAAGAAAAATACCTGGCACAAAACAAATATATACAATTATAAGAGATTACTATGAATAGTTCTAATAACAACAAATTGGACCACCCCAAAGAAAAGCATATGTTTGTAGAAGCACACAATATGCAACACTGAACCAAGAAGCAATGGCAATTCTGCAGACTGAACGCTAGTTATGGAATCAATGTGGTAATCAAAAGCTTCCCAACAAACAAAGCGCAGGACCATATGGCTTCACAGAGAATTCTACAAACATTAAAAGAAGAGATAATACCTATTCTTCTCAAAATATTCCAAAAAATTGAAGAGAAAGACAGCTTCCAAATTCATTTTAAGAGGCAGCATGACCTTGATTCTAACACCAGACAAAAACACTACAAGAGAAGAATATTGCAGACCAATATCCCTGATGAATATAGGTGAGAAAATCCTCATGAAAATATTATCACACTAAAATTAAAAATACATTGAAAGATCAATCAACATGATCAACTGGGATTGATTTCAGGGAGCAAGTTTGGTTTAATATCCACAAATCAATCACTGTGATACACCACATTAACAAATGGAAGGATCAAAACACTATGGTAATTCCAATAGATGCTGAAAAAGTATTTACAAATTCAGCATCCATTCATGATTAAAATTCTCAACTCAGTGGGTATAGAGGGAACATACCTTAACATAAGAAAGTCCAGATAAGGCAAAGCCACAGGTAACTTCATGATTAATGTTGAGCTGATGAACACTTCTACAAGATCAGGAACAAGACACAGATGCCCACTCGCACCACTTTTATTCAGTCAACTACCAGGAACCTTAGCAACCAGGCAAGAAAATCAAATGGAAAGCATCCAAATGGATAAAGAAAAAGTACAATGTCACTATTTGCAGATGAAATGATTCTATATATAGAAAACGTGGAAGACCACCAAAATACTACCAGAATTAATAAACCATGTACAGAAATACATTTCATTGATCAGAAGGAGTAATGAGCCAGCAAAAGGAGATATTAAGAAAAACATTCTGCATATGATTGCATTAAAATTAAGTAGCTAGGTATATATATATATCTAAGGAGGTAAAAGTCCTGTCCTTTGAAAATTATAAAACTTTGATGAAAGAATCTGAAGACAACACAAATAAATGGAAAGCTATTCCATGCTCATGTATAGAAAGAATTATTATTAAAATGGCCACATTGCCTAAAGTAATAGTTTCAGAGCTATCCTTATCAAAATGCCAATGATATTTTTCAAAGAACTAGAGCAAGTAATGTCAAACTTTATATGCAACCAACACACGCACACTCACACACACACACAAAACCTGAAGTCTGTAAGCAACCTTGAAGAAGACAAAGCTGGGTAATCACTGTCCTTCATTTCAAACTGTACCACAAAGCTACAGTAATACAAATATTAATTTAATCACACAATAAGATAGACCAGTAGAGCAGAATAAAGAGCCCAGAAACAGACCTATAAGTCCAATGAATCTATGACAAAGAGGCAAGAATACACAGTGGGGAAAGATAGCCTCTTCAATAAGTGGAGTTTAGAAAATTAGACAGCTACATGCAAAAAATAAAACTGGATCACTGTCTTAAACCATACACAAGAATAAACTCAAAATAGGTCAAAGACCAACATTTGAGACCTGAAACCTAGAAGAAAACTTAGGCAATAAACTCTTGAACATCAGCATTAGTAATGCTTTCCTGGATAGAACTCCACGAACAAGGATAACAGAAACAAAAATAAATAAGGGGAGCTAGAGCAAACTGAAAAGCTTCTGCACAGCAAAGGAAGCCATCAACAAAACAAAAAGGCAACCTGCCATGTGGGACAGTATCTCAGCAGAGGATATATCTGGTAAGGGGCTAATATATGCATAAATTCACAGAAACAAACAATGAAAAGACAAGCAATTGCTTTAAAAATGGGCAGAGAACCTGAATAGACATTTTTCTGAAGAAGACCAACAGATGGCCAACAGACACATGAAAAGATGCTCAGTATCACCAGTTATCAAGGAAATGCAAATCAGAACCTCAATGAAAAACACAGAGATATGCACCATGTGCAACTGTGATTTATCCCTGGGATGGAAGGATGGTTCAACATATGCAAATTAATAAAAATAAATGGAAGGTAATTTTTCACATGATCATCGTAATAGATGCAGATGAATCAATTGTTAAAACACAACATCAAATGATTTCACGATGAAAATGCTTAACAGATTGGTTATAGAAGAACCATATCTTAACTTAATAAAGGCTATGTCTGAACTACTCTCTGTTAACATCATATCAAAGGGGAAAGATTGACTTTTTTCTGGAACATCTAGAACAAAACAAGAATGCCCACTCTCCCACTCCTATTTAATGTAGAGTCAGAGGACTCGCTAGAGCCCTTAGGGACAAAAAATAATAAAGACATCCAAATTGGAAAAGAAGAATTAGAATTGTCACTTGCAGATGATATGATTTTATATACAGTTAATCACCAAGAGTCAAGCAAAAACTGTGGGACCTAATCAACAATCTCAGTATGGTTAGGGGATAAAGAATCAATATCCAGAAATCAGTTGCATTAACTTAAACTACCTGATGTGAAATATCAAAAGAAGAAATAAAGAAAGCTCTTCTATAAACAATACCATAAAAATTTAAAATACTTAGGAATAAATTTGGATAAAAAAAGTGAATGATTTTTACAATAAAAATGACAAGACTTTGCTGAAAGTAACCAAAGTCACAAACAAATCAAAAGATAGCCTATGATCATGAGTCAAGAAAATTAATATTGTTAAAATATTCATACTACCCAAAGGCATCTCCAGTTTCAACATGATTTCCATCAAAATACCAAAGGCATTCTCTATAGAAGTAGAAAAAACAATTCTAAAATTTCTGTTTCAATATTTTGTGATAGGTCCAAGTAAGGATCTACTCATGTGTAACCTACTTGCTTGCAGAGCTCCATGGATATGTAGATGGATCTTCATCAAATCGGGGAAATTTTTGGCCATTGGGTTTCCAATTTTTTTTCTACCTTGTTCTCTTTTGTCCTTCTTATGCACATGTCGGTAAGTTTAATGTTTCCCTGGATCTCCAAGGCTCTGTTCATTTTCCTTCATTGGTTTGTCCTTATGCTGCCACATGGGATAATCTCTATGGACGCAGACTCATGTGCCCTGATTTTTTCTTCTGCCAGATCAAAATGGCTGTGGAAATGTTTTAGTGACTCATCAAATAGAACATATGTTCAATGACTACTTTGCTAAGTCCAGCACTGGGTCCTCTAAGTTAGTTTTTATTAATTGGTCTTTTACCTGATTCTGTGCCACAAATTTTAGTTTCTTGGCCTATCTCATATTTTGTTGAAAACTAGACATTTTTAGATAATGTTATAGTAGCTCAGGAATATGATCTCTTCCTGGAGGTGGTTTTTTATTTCTCTTTTTTTGATTTGTTTTGTTTACAGCTTGTTTTACTAATATGGAGTCGACTTCCTGAGGCATGTTCACACTTGTTCGAGAGTCGCTAAAAAAGTTTCTCTTAAAAACAATGTCTTCTACATTGACATCTGAGCAAGATTACATTAGCCATCAGTTAATAATTAGTAGAGGTTTTACTCAAAACCTCCAGTGGCTAGGATTTCCATCTTTGCACTTTTACATGACTTCTGACAAATATTTTAAAATTTCAATAGCCATAAGTCCGGTATACTTTCCTCAAGTTATTCATTTAGTAAATGAGTGAAAATTGCTTTTTTTTCAAGCCATTAATAACCTTTATTTTCTTGAGTTGAATTATGTTTTGACTTATAAATTGCCAAGAGAAATAGGCAGTATGAATGTTTACTAGGTTAAGTTTGTGTCACGTGAAAGACTTATTTTCCTAGCAGTGAAATTTTCTCCAATTAAAGGGTTGGAAGCCTTCCTTTGAATTGTTTATTTGATGTAATACGGTGATAGGAAAAATGTATCCATGAATTCCAAAGGTACTAAGAGTTGCTTCAAGTAGGAAATACAAGCTGGCTTTTCTTGGTGCTGTGAATCCTGAATAGAAGTAGGGGAACTGTTTCAAGAAAAGCATTGAGTTGTTTTCCTATGCAGATGGTGTGTCCAGTGTAAAGTCAGCAGATGCAGAGAAGTCAGGAATTATCTTACTTTACTGGAAGAAGTACTTGGCATTGAAGAGCCACAAACAATAGAAGAAAAGCTGCAGATAAAGTCAATAATCCTGGTGAATGTAGAGGGAATTTGAGTAGGCCTTAGAATATTTATCTTTGTGGCCCCCCTATTTTGAAGACTGACTGGATACTGTGTAATCCACGGACACAAACAGTATCAGAAGAATCAGCCCAGGACCTCTCTATGTGTGTGATGAAGAGCTTTGAACATCTTACTAATATCTGCCCAATGAGTGGGATGATGGCAGATAAAAGGTGACTGTTAGTTAAGTGAGTATTACACTTTTTTGATAATTCAGAAATTAATCTCTCAAAGTACTTTAATTTAAAACCTCCATGTACGGCTTTCTTCTCTTAATGTTTCAGTTTGTCATATTATACCTATTCTCAATTGGTCATAAGAAATAATGCAAGGATGTAACTGTCCCAATAGGTGTGACTTGGAAGTAGAAGAACCTTGATCCATTGTGCTGGTAACTAATAGACATAAGAGGGTTATGAATGGGACAGCAGATAAAAACATCCTTCCTTTCTGGAGTTATTCCTAAATAGTGACTTTGAACCCTGCCCAGCAGCCCTGAGTAGTTTTGATTTGGTTGAATCATTTACCATCCACTATTTGTAGTAAATGGAATAGGCATTTCACCCATGTGCTGGAAAATGGATAAGTCAGCATATACTTAATCCCACTAGAGTGAATTATTGATCCCAGGAACATTTCTAACTGGTCAATCATTCAATCTCTGTGGAATATTTAGGCTTTGTCGTTATCTTTTCCACATGGAGCCACAGATTTGTTCTTACATGCATTTATATCAGACGGTAACTCATTATTTAAGCTACATCCTCAGGTGAGTAGTTTCATTCTTGTATTGGGGCAGAAAACTTTTCCCTTCTTTCTTTTTACGGTCTTTGTCCACTTCTGTAATTAAGTTTATAAAAGTAAGATAAACAAGAGAAAAACAATCTTAAATACCTATAAAGAGGAGCACCTCAAAGGCACAAATCCTTAAAGACATACAGGCAATATACTGAGGCTGATATAACACCTGATGTAAGTAGGTGGCTTAGTGGTCTAGGGCTTCAGTAGGCAGGATGATTATTTACCTGAGATGAAAAGATCAAATGTTTGGTAAACATGTTTTTCCCTGCCATGCAGATAAGTCTTTCTGATAGGAAAAGTACCCTTGGCAATAGCTCTTTCCCTGGTACAGGTCACCTGTCACACGTATTTTACAATAAGGAAGAAGAAAAACCTTCTCCTGTGCCTGGTGGGTCTTAATTGCCTTCAGCTCAAAATAATTCACTTCCTGGGGTGATGTCCTCTGTTCCTGCTCAGTCCCACCTAGGCAACTTCCCCAAGAAGATTCATGCTCTGTTGTTACATTGCTCCATCTCATGGAACTAGTCTCTTAGTCTTGACAATAGATGAGTTCAGTTAAACTCATTAAAGGAGGCAGTGATGCAGGTCACTTCCCAAAATTAGGCTTATATTGTATAGCCCAGTGTATTTAATGAGGCATTTCTATGGAAGCTAAAGAAAAGCAATGGATAATGAGAGGAGCAGTCTTTAATCGCACTTCTTCAGGTGAAGCAGTAGGTCAAGATTTTTTACACATCTGGCTTGAAACATCTTCAGATGCAGTGATGTCAGGCAGTGGTAATATGACAAATATTCCTGGTTTGAAGAGTGAATGTCTCTGCAGATGTTTCTGAGTCGCTATACAGCAGCAGTCATGGTCCATAGATGAGCTGCTGTGGTAATTTCTCTGATGTTTAAAACATGATATCCAATTTAACATGCATGTCTTATGAAAAGAGAGGATTTAGTTTCCAATGTTTCTATATCAGCATGTATGGAGATAATTGGAAGTATTACCTTTGACAATGTTAGAATAAACTAGAAGAATTTCAAGTGAAGTTCAATTTACAGATCAAAAACAAAGCCTCAAAGATAATGGACAAGACATAAAAATGATATCCACAAGGCTATGGTATAGATTATTGCTGAAATATAAATTTTCATCTTACAGTTTGCCCCATTTCTAACAGAGATAATCAAAGTAAGACAAATTTGTTTTCAATATACATATAGTCTCCACCTTGACATGATTATTGAAATGAGTGCAGGGGGAATAGATTGACTCTATAGATTCCTTTACAGTTGACTTTGTTGGAGTATGCCAAAAGTCTGACTTTGACTCTAAAAAATGTCTTGAGGCTAAGAAGAAAGTCCAGGGCTTCCCATCAGACACCATCAGAGGGTTATGGATGGGACAGCAGAAACCAATGTTTGTTAGAATCCTTTTCATTAATCTCATTGAACACAAGTGCTTTTTGAAAGCAACAAAGTAAACGAATAACTCTTTTCCTGTGTTGTCCTGTCTGTTGGCCTATTCTTGGAATCTCATTGCTGTAAGTCTTTGCACCTTCCTACTCCCATATGATTATTCATAAACTGAGCTCTTTAAAAAAAAGTAAACAACTTAAAAATGGCTGTGGTTAAAGCCCTGATAAGATTTTAGTATAATGTACATGAAGAAGTTTGATATTTTTGTACTAATACAATCTAACATAGGTTCAGTGTCACTTACTTAAAAATAATTCCCAAGTTATTTAATATATCAGAGAAGGCTACTTATTTTCTCCATCTCTCTTTTGATAAGGAGAGAGTACAAATCTTTTGAGATATTCTAGGTGTGCTATGAAAAATCCTGAAATTACTAGGAAGTCAAAAAGACTTCATTTAGAATTTAGTTTTTGGGAATTTTGTCAAAAATATCAAAAGGTTTTATTACACTTGGTGAGCTAAGATCATAGGTCACTGTGATACAATACTTTGGTTACTATTTAACCAAAGTGACAATAACATATTTAAAGAACCAATAAATAGGATCCATAGTTGTGAGTAAAATTTGCCCTTTTAATTTTAAGGATCAGTTTTCTAAGGTAATCAAAGGCCTGGTAAAGACAACAGGAAGTACAGAAAATTATTTTGCTAAGACATAATATCTTTCCTTTGTAGGTAGATTGGTTAAAAGATAAGGAAAAATGAGTCACAATCTATGAAGAGCAGTCTAATAGTTTCGGATGTCTTTGATCTTTTAGTTGATGAAAGAAAATTAAGTTTTAGTTTTACAGAGACACAGCATGATATTATTTGAGCCACCTTGACCATACAAGGTAATATTTTTCTCTATTCCCAATTTTCTTTATTCATTTAGCTGTCCTTTATTTTTCTCTGTCCCATTCTGAAATAATCAGCTGTACCTTAGGACAAAATTACTTTCATTTCTCTTAGCAAAAAAACAGCTGCATACCTCACAAATTTTCTTAGCCAAAAACACAACTTCTTTGTATCCTCTTCCATACATGTATGTTTTCCTTACTAATTCTAGTGGTCAAAATTCCATATATTAGTTTTTTTAAACACTAGAAATTGTTACTTCAGTTGGAAACCAAGGAGAAAGCAATGGTGAGCCCTCCATTCCACCACAAATGTGTATATTGGCAAGTTTATGTGTATATTTTGTAACCTCTAGGAGTATATCCTTTCTAATAGTACAATTTTGGTTTATGTGGTACACGACATGTTTACTGACATATCCAAACATGTTTCTTTTTGAATAAGAAGCTAAAAGTGAATAAACATATGTCCAATATTTAATGTTTCTTCATTTTTTCTTACTTAGAAATTATCTAGTGATTACATATATTTTCATCACTTAACTTAACTTAGCAAAACTCTCAGGGTTTAAGTTACCAAAGAGAATTGGGAAACAAATACACATATTACAAAATCTAATAATTGTTTAACAGTGTACATAAAAATCTTTAGCACATTCACTTTTTTTTTACTTAATTCTCTTGTAATTAATAAACATGTTTAGCTGACTCATGAAAATTTCATGAGCCATTAAAGCAGCTCGCTATTGTCTTTGGTTATTTTTCATGCTGACCAAGTTTGTAACAGAGATAACAGGATATTGGACATTTAGCAAAGCTAGGTAAGATGAAAGTGCATATTTACTGCTGGTAAATCTAAGGCATGCCTCTTAATTAAACCACCAAACTTCAACTAGATTTTTATTACTGAAAATTATCCTCGATCCCATGAACTTGAAAAATATTTGAGAGACGTCCTCTTATATTTCTGAGTGTTAGAAATATGTACTTTGATGAGCACTTACTTTTCTTTAAGCCATTTCAATAGAGGTTTAAAACATGAATTGGGTAATGTCACCTAAACATGGAGAAAAATATACATGTAATAAGGAAAAGCATGATTCATCATTCCTGGAATCTCATTGCTGTAAGTCTTTGCACCTTCCTACTCTAATATTCTTATATTATATTCCTACTCTTATAGTCTAACAAGTAGAATATAAGACAGTAAAATTCATATTATGTAGATTATAGACAGAAATATAAGGTGCAGTTGTTTGCTTTCTATTCTCCACTACCTCTGATCATACTAAAATTTTCTATATCTTTCTAAAGATTTTATCTCCACAGGAAAAAGACCCATTCATAAGATATCTTTTTTGTCTCAGTTTCTTTCTTTAGTCCCTATTAGTACAGGAACACAGGAAAAGACAAATGATTACTACCATTACACTGTGCACACATTGCCTCACAAGCCCCCAGGAGCCCCAACCATTTCTTCTTCACATCTCGCTCTTAACTGGACTCAAGTGTTGTACCCAGAAACAATATCTTTGGCTGCCATAAATTTGTTTAATCTATTTTTCGTTGTCCCATGTTTTAAAGTGTTTTGTCATTCTCTGTACCATTTCCCTAAGTATTTGTCATTGCTGTACCTCCTTCCTTTAGATATAAATGTTCTTGCTCCATGTTTACCTGTGCTAAAGGTAAATCCATTTATTTTCATTTATTAGTGATACAGAGCATGTTTTCATGTGCCTGTTGTCTGTCCATAATTCTTCTTTGAAAAAGTGTCTGTTCAGATCCTCTACCTATTTTTTCATCAGGTTATTTGTTTTTTGGATGTTGAAGTATGTGAGCTCTTTGTATATTTTGGATTTTGACCCCTTGTCGGATATGTCATTTATGACTATATTCTCCCATACTGTAGGATGCCTTTTTGTTCTATTGATGGTGTCCTTTGCTCTACAGAAGCTTTTTAGCATGATATAGTCCCATTTGTTCATTTCTTATTTTGTTTCCCTTGCCCAAGGAGATGTGTTCAGGAGAGAGTTTCTCATGTTTATATTCAAGAGATTTTTGTCCATGTTTTCTTCTAAGAGTTTTATGGTTTCGTGACTTGTGTTCAGGTTTTTGATCCATTTCAAGTTAACTTTTTTGTATGGAGTTAGACAATATCCAGTTTCATCCTCTTACATCTCCCATTTACATCTCCCATTCTCTTGCAATCTCCCATTTACATCTCTTTACATCTCCATTCAACAACTTCAACCAGTTGTTGAAGATGCTATCATTTCCCCATTGTATATCCAGCTCTCCTTCATTGTTTATTAATTGGCCATATATGTGTGGATTTATATCTGGACTCACTATTTTGTTTCATTGATCTATAGGTCTGTTATTGTGTCAGTACAAAATTGTTTTGATTACTGTGGCTTTGTAGTAGAGCTTGAAGTTACGGAGCATAATCTGCCAGCTTTGTTCTTCCTTTTTAGGATTGCTTTGGCTATTCAGGGTTATTTTTGGATCCATATGAATTATAGAAATATTTGTTCCAGTTCACTGAAGAATACTGTTGTTGATTTGATAGGGATTGTATTGAATCTATAGATTGATTTAAGCAGGATGGCCATTTTGAGAATATTAATTCCTCTTATACATGAGCTTGGGGTGTATTTTCATTTTT